TGGCACTATATGTGAAGTGGTAAAATATTATTCAAATCAGACTGTGATAAGATATATATGTTTCTGTGAACAGTCAGTTCAAACTTGTTCTCAATCTTACTAAGAGACTTCAAGAAGATTCCAAAGGAACCATTGTTAAATTGGGGACAATCTGTACATATAAAAATATGTATCATTAAATTTATGTGTGTGTGTGTGTGTTTGTGTATAATTTTGTTTAATTCTCAACTCAATTCCATGAGGTAGGTTCTATTATCATCATTTTACTGATGAGGAAATGGATAAATGAAAGAATATGCCAAAAGTTATGTTGCAATGGAGATGACAGAATTTGAACCTAGCTAATTTCTGTTTTTAGTCTTATTAAGGATAATTTCAAGTATATACAAAAGTATGCATTTGAAACAATAAAACCCTAGGTTCCCATCACCCAGTTTTATAAATTATCAATTCATGGTCAATCTTATTTTGTTAATACCCCAACTATGTTTCCCCATCCCATATTTTTTCTTTTAATCCCAGATATATTACTTTGTCTTTGATTATTTTAGTACATATATCTAAGTTCTGACTTTTAAAAACACAACCACAATACTATTATCACACTTAAAAACTAATAGTAATTCCTTAATGCAATCAAGTATTCAATATGTGTTCAGGTTTTCCTATTATTTTACAGTTTGTTTGACTCAGAATACACCTAAGGGTTAAGCATCGTGTTTGGTTTATGTGTTTTTTAAGCCTCTTTTAACCTATAGGTGTCCTCACTCCATTCATTCCTCATAATCTGTTGCTAAAAAAAACCCGGTTGTTCATCCTGCAAAGTTTTCCATACTGATTTTTCCTTATTGTATACTTGTGGTAGGTCTAATGTGTTCTTATTTCCTTTGTACTTACCATAAACTGGTGATTGTGTCTAGAGGGTGGTATCTTTCTAAATCTAATAAACAAGAAACAAAGATGTTTTTCATTTCTTTTGGAAGCCCGTTGAGTTGAGTTAGTATTTCAAGTCCAGCTGATTTTGTTTAGTTTTGGAAATGCTGAGGGAGACTGGGGATTACAGAATAATAACTGTGTGAAACATTAGGGATTCCACCCTACTTCAGAGGAGAGTACATATTTGGCATTGTTCTGTTCACTTTCAAAAACATCTGACTCTGATGGGAGATTTTACTCTTTTTCAAAGAAAAGGAAACTTTATTTATGAAATCAGGTGAAAAGGTTTTTAAAGGTGCCATTTGCTGTAGGGGGCATCA